TGGTGTCTTTCTCGATTGGTTCGGCATATAGGGATGAGGTGTGGTGCGATGTCGTGCCGATGGATGATTGGCACCTTTTATTAGGACGTCCGTGGCAATTTGATCGTGCCATGGTGCATGATGGGCTTCTTAACACGTATGGATTTATGTTTGAGGGCAACCGTGTTGTCTTACATCCCTCGGCCCCTCGTTCTGTTCCTTTACAACAGACGTCGACATCATTTTTTCTTGCTCGAGATGGGCCGCATGGAGACTTGTTTGAAGCAGTGCTCGGTAGTTCTGTGGTCTTCGACGTGGGAGACTTTGTGTGGGTTGCTTCTTCTCCGGACGATAGACTCGGGCCCTATGAGGTTCTTGCACGGCTCCCGCAGGATACTTACCGTCTTCGCCTTCCATCTCATAGGTGTTCATCTGATAGTTTTCATGTGGCAGAGTTGGCCCCTTTCACCAACGACGGCTCAGACGGAGACGAGATCAGTTCAGATTTGAGGGCGAATCCTTCTCAACCGTGGGAGGATGATGGAGACGAGATCGCCCTCGCATTCCTCGATAAATATGATCGGATGCCGTTGCTTATTTAGTTACTTTATTGCCTTTTCCCTTATTATTAATAGACTTCCTTATTTATGTTATTTAGAATTAGAAAAATAATTGTGGTTTTATTTTGTTTAGTAAGTTAGTTTTATGAGGAGTCTACGATATATATATATTTGTATTCACTTCAGTAGCAGACGATGAATAATTTTGAGATTAATATGATATTATGAGTTCTTTCACGAGAGAGTATCTCGTATTTTTCCCCGTTCTTATTCACGTTCTACATCAATCTCCCTTGTATTAGTAACGAGTCACGAACCTTGACTATTTTTTATTTCTCTCCATATTTATACCTGAAAATGGAAATGGTTCATAACTAAGGCATCTGATATTTGTGGACCATTGATACTCCAAGTAGCTGCAAGCAAGTTGAGTTGCTACACTGAAGGAAATTGAACTACCGAACCGAATCTCCGCAAAGTATTAATTATATAAAATCCCATTGAGAAATAACAAAATCCCCACTCATGGAAATTAATCAAAACTTGGAAAAAACCAAGAAATTCAAAACTCATCGTCATCTTCCTCAGCTATAACCTTGGCTA